ATGATTTCAAAAAACTCTGTCTCCCCAAACACGGTTCTCCCCGAGACCGAGCGATCTCTTTTCCCACAGAAACTAAAAAGTCCACGGTCCACGTCGCCGAGCGCGCAATCACCCGTCCAATTCCCAAAAGGATCGCTTTCCCTAGAACCAGCTCTATCAATAAACGCAACCCAGGTCGGCTGCAAAAGGAATACGCCAGTTTTTTCACCAAACTGGCCTGGTTCCCAAGCAGAAGCCGTCGCGGCGGCGACGCGACCAGCGGTAGGGAGCCGAACGAGGGGGTGTGGTGGAGGGGCGGAGGGGGGGGGGAGAGGGGTTGGCGGATGGATTTCGTGGTTCAAGAATGAGATTACAATTTGTCAGGTCCGGAGCTAGAGGCCGAAATCACGCGGATGGCACGACCGAGAGGGTCCTGGCGAACGAGGGACGCCAGGCCAGCAAGAAACTCGCGCAGGCGGCATTATAGTGTTCCGCCGGCCATTCTGCTGGCAGCGGCCACGTATTGGCCACGGCAGCATTCTTTTCCGGCCAGATCGGCCAATCGATGCATCTCGCCACCGATACCCATCTGTCACTGTCCACCAGGGGCTTAGCCTTTTCTTCGCTCGTCGAGCGCGCCACCGAACGACGGGACGCGTCCAGCGAAATTGCTCGCCAGGACGCGGACCGTTTGCTCTTCCGGGGGATGAAAAAATTCTCTGGGTTTTTCGGTTTTCTCGGGGACCTCGCCTCGATCGACCTCCGTCGGTTGTGACGGTGGTTCTCAACCTCTTTCAAATCGTGCACGCTGAAGAGACGAACATTTGCGCGGCATTGACGCGGAACACCATCTTGGACGCGTGAAAATTAACAAATGTAATTGAAATTAACCCTCTAGCCTACAACAACGCGCGAGACCGCGGGATAAGGAATTTAACCCTTTCGAGACAACTGGTTGCTACCACTAACCACAAATTTAAAATTAATTTTTTTGCCTACTGGTTTCTAGTAAAAACCGTAGTGGAACATGTGTTGCCTATGTTCTGGAGGATAATCGAGGCATCTTGTTGACGTTTTCTTCCCATAATTTCATTTATACACGTATTTTTAAATAATTTGTAAAAATGAAAATGTGTCTAGTAATATATTTGTAATTCTGTCCTCAAAGGGTTAAATCGAATGTGAAAAGCACGAGTCAGACATGTCGTACGAACGTGCACGAGGGAATTAATATTTGACTATGGCACACGGGATTGTGCAATAAGTAGTAGGACAAGGGGTGAAATTTCAATGGCACCATCTAATTTGTGATTTTTTCGGGATAAGTTCATGTTTATTGAAGTTGAATAATCATATTTGAGATTATTGGTAAGGGTTTTCAAACATTTGGATTGATGATTCACTTAAATTTTGGTGTTATTAATGTATCCACCCTTAGCACAAGACCACTCGAGCACAAAATTTACAACACTGTCACTTTATTAAAAAAAAATTCGATAAAAAATTATTTTTCAATTATTCGATACATGCATGATAAACTCTGACATTAAAAAATTGAAAATGTCTTCTTTCAAACTCCTAGTCCACAAAAACCTAGAAAATGATTTCATAGAATTCGGATAGAGAGCTTCAAACCCTCTCGCAGTTCCAAATCGATATCTTCGTCCATTCCTCGATCAGGAATATCGCTCTCGTAACTCCGAAGCCACAAAATCACGAGGAAAATATTTCAAAAAAGGTGTCCGCTTTTTCTCCCCTTCCCCTTCGTGGAGAGAGGCGGCTCGACGTTGATGGAACTAATTTTTCAGCGTACAAGAGCCACGGCCGCGGCGAAAGCATTTTCAATGGCCGAGAAACGACGGACTTATCGCGATCGCAATTCCAGCGATTCATCGAACGCGCCGGTCGACGTCCAGACGGAATAGTTCGTGAGATCTCCCCAACGGGGCAAAAAGTGTCCCAATTATATATAAAGACAATAAAACCCGAACCAGTCGGTCGGTTCCCACCCCGACCTGGCCAACGCGTCGCTCGACTTCATGGACGATTTTATGGCTGTTGGTCGTAAATTCCAGTCGGTAGTCAGAAAGTGATTCCCTCTGATCGCGCGTCGATTATAAAATAACTGACAACCGGCGCGACCGGTGCTCGACTCTTGAACTCCATCGAATCGTCGTAAACATGGCGAAACAATTTCATCGTTACGTTTCTTACTCTATTCTTTTCGCTAATAGCCTTAGAACCAGTGACGATTTTCCGTACGTCATTTTCAATTGAGAATAACCCTTTGATGATTACGAAGACCGTCGTCTAGCGTATTTTGAAACATACTAGAAAAAAAATGAAGTTACGTCATTTTGAAACGACTGGCTTTTGGTACAGTGATTAATTGAATATTAGTGAATAAGAAAAAAATATTGCCAGAATATTTTTGTCCCGTGCTTTGCGCGGAACATATGGAGTGTCAGGCTTACCTTTCCTCGACAAAACTATTTTTGCGAATTTTGACATTTTCGAAATACATGCGGGATATTTTGAGTGAAATTTGGGTCTGAAAATCTCTGATGGTATTCAGAATTTTACGTGGGACGGTCTGGATCGTCGCGAGTAGTTTATCGAGGGACTGAATTTTCTGAGAATAGAATGGCTGATCAGTGATGGATCATTCTACTGAATTTCAGATAGTATTCTATTGTACCGGAGTTGTATCAACGGTAGGTGTAGTTGTAGTAATTCTGCGATGAGGTTAGTAATACTTTTATAAATAAAAGTTTTTGTCTGAATCATTTAACACTAAACCTACCGACATTTATTTCTAAATATTTCTATCGTGATGGAACAAAGACTGGCTTCCACGACACTTTTTCCAATTAAATGCAAAAATACTTTACTTTGAACTAAATTGAATAATGTATGAAACAATTGTATATAATTCACATATAGCATACAAGAACTGTATACAAAAATTTGAAAACGGTCACTCGACCGGTCGAGATACGTTTAGTGTTAAAAATACGAGTGTTGCTATATTTCACAGTGAAAGAAATAATATTTAGTGTAGTACGCGCAGAGTGCCCAAGAGTACTAAAGCATTCTCAGTTTTATCACCTCTGGGATTCAAGGACCGCTGAACAAATCCATTCTGCCCCAACGCAGTTACGAACAAGATGATCGTAATAACTAGTTCTCCCTTCGTTATGCAATTTATCGAGAACGAGTACTCGAAGCCTCGTTTAGCATTAGTCTTAAGCAATGTTAAGGACATTTTCGATGTTACTACGGTGATCTAGCCTGGAGTATCAATTAGACAGACGGAAGGCGAAATTTCGTCAAAGAATCACCTAACGAGACGAGCTGGAACAATCGTGTCTAGCCGATTCGCGGCTCCCTATCCTCGAGAGCTACTGCAAATGTTTGCACGCCGAAGGAACCAGCCATTATACTCATTGCATGGCAAATAATGCAACTCCCCCGACTAACTTGTTCGATTCGAGGGATGTAGAGTAGGCTGACGAGTGGAACAGAGAGGTGCCTAGACCGATTCAAGAGAGTACGAGATATTTGCAAACTTACACACGGAATGGAAAGAAAGAGAGGTCGCGAACTGTGTACCACGTGTTCCCAAGGTTTTAATACCGATGTTTGAATGCGCACCCCCGTTTTCCATCCGGCCCAATTATCCCCCTGGCAACCCCTACCGTAACCTCTCTTACGTTCCGGCGTTGTTTCACCGCTGCCAATTACACGTATTTGCGTCCTCGGCCCAACGAGAGCCGAGACTGGATTCTTGTGAATTCTTTATTGTTTCGACTGTACGACGAGAGGAACAAAGGGTCCAGCGTTTTCTTTTCCACCCGCCCTTCCTGGCTTTCTCTCTTTTGTCGCGCGATTAATCAATCGACGGCTCGCTTGGACGGAGGCGCGATGTTGTTACGATCCAAACGAGGGATCCAGTCTTTTCTGTTACAGTGGACACCCTTTGACGACGAGGACTGTTCGAGTTCGGTTCGAGCAGAGTTTTCTTTGCACTCCAATGAACTGCATCCCGAACATCTTAAGAGAGTGCTCATTTTTTTTTTTTAACGATTCCGAGGCAATATTTATGATTTATTTGCATTCAAAGTACTCGGCATAAACTTTCGAAAATCAGTACGTTTATTTATGTGTACTTTATTTGTATGTATTATATGTATGTCCATTTGGTACATGTATGTACAAGATGTTATTTACGATTCTTTTCATCAAGTTCATCATTCTTTCAGGTATCAAGTGGAGCAGATATAAAATCTTAACGTGATTGGGTTCGCTCTGGTGGACCGTATCGATGATAAATCATTTTGATTTATTAATTATCGCGTGATTGTAGCGTGAACTAGGGCAATAAAGTATTAAAAAAAAATTGACAAAATGAAGAATATTTTTAACCAATACCTATTACAGTAGAACTATTTTAATGACTTTAAACGACAAACTTATAAAACAAATTATAAGTATTTGTGCATAAGTCCCCCGTTATCCGTTGCCATTGTTTACTTCGAACATCACCTTTACTTGCGTTCTTCGTGTAGTTGATACTCGAGTTTAGTGTAAACAATTATTGAAATCGAAGTGACAGACTGTAATTCGAATATGGCTCAATCATTTCTTCTTATTTATGCTCTTCGCGAACTCAATCCACTGTTTCTTGTATACTTTAATAAAAAACCTCAAGAGTTCTGTATCCCTATCCCTCCACAGTAACACAGAAGATCCTACCTCGAAGTACCTTGTAAATCGCAATCATGGTATTATGTACGTAGGAGACGTCTACCTAGCTAGTCCCTCCACTTAAATAAAATTTAAGGAAAAAATTGCATAATAATGCACTATTTATGCGCTCTTCAAATCCGTAAGAAACAAATTTTGCGCTCGATTCGGTTAATGCAACAAAATTTATTTAAATGGGGGGGGGGGAGGGCTGAGTAGGAGCCCGCAGCCAGGACACAGAAGAAACATCTATTTAAAAAAATCAAAGTACTCACCAAGAGCGCCAGCAGCCAGCCTCATCGTGACGGGTAGTTCAGCGCCGGTGACTTCCGACAGCTTCCTCTTCCTAGGTCTGCCCTTCTGCACCGTACCGGAAGTGGTGATCGGGCTCTGCTCCGCGGCGCTGTAATAAGCCGGAAGCGGCGACACCCCTGGTGAACCGATGTCCTCGATACTGCCAGCTCCGCTCCCGTAATCCCCCGCGCAGCAGAGCAACTCATAGTGAGGTCTTGGGACCGACCAGCTCGTCATTCGTGAACCTTGCTGTCGAGTATTTCAGTGGCGACCCTGCGTTATCCTCCGAGTTCGATGAACGAGCGAACGCGAACTCGCTCGCGAGAGAAGACAGACTAATGGCCCGACCGCTTTCCGCTCGATCGGATCGATGGATCGGCGAATCGAGCGTCTACCGTGATTCTCGGAGCTGGGTTGTACCATCGCCAGCTTTTCATCCGAATGGAAGAGTCGTACAACTGCGCCGATTGAGACTCCGAACTCAATTGGCACTTGCTACCTTTTCGAATTGGCCACAGTTGATGGTATTATCATTTTAACCCGGCCAGGGGCGTCTATTTTGAAATGGCCGCGCGATCCTAGGCGTGTTACATCTTGCGTTACATTGCGGGAGTTTGCTTTTCACACTGATACTACTGCTATAAGATCGCCTAATTCGATCGATACACGTATAAACGAATAACAACGCGTCGGACTTTGCGAAATCCATTCTTTTGTCATTTCGCATTAATGTGACAACTCTGTGGCGTCCGTCCACGTGTAACAAGTGTTAAATAAATACGACGGATCGCAGAGTTTTATTAAGCGCGATAAGCGATAGGCGTGCGCGAGGAACGGTGATAAGCCGCTACTACCGATCCCGTCGATCCGGCGGAGCGGGAAGCGGCACCGCGACGTTTTCCCTTTACGAGAACGCGCGTCGAGCTCGAACTCGATCCCGTTTCTCAGAATAGGAAAGATCGGATTCACCCGCGCCTGAGGGCTGTCATTACGCGGCGAACAGACGGATAATAAGTGTCCTACGTCGACGCGCCTCGTGTTTCTGTCACTCTCGTCATCAAACTCGTTGATAACAAAGAGACGGCCTTTGGAGGATGGTAATTCGGGCTCGTGTTTCTCACCTACAGTAGACCAGCCCGTCCCTTTGCCCGAAATGATCGCCCTTGTTCAGCGGGGTGCCGCAAGAAGCGCACGTGAAGCAGGCGACGTGGTACACGAGGTCCCGAGCGCGCATCACCAGCTCCGAGGCGGAGATGCCTGCCCGGCATCGAGAGCATCTCGACACGGCGAACAACCTGGGAACAGAATATGCGGCGGAATTGTTTGGCGAATCGTGTTCAGAGTTCCAGGCTCACGCTTTCACTTTCACGTCCGGTTGTTTAACGTCGACAGCTTTGGCTGACGTTATAGTGCCGTCGAAGAGAGTAGAAATGACAATCTATGAGGGCTGCGATATAAATAAGCAACATTTTACAGGTTCTAATAACGCGTTATCGTTCTGGAACAACGGAGATAGTAAGCGTTTTGAATTATACAAAATTTCAAACATGCTACCGGTAGTTGCAATATTATTATATTAGGTATAGAATTCATATACAGTCAATCCTAGTAGCATTCGTATCATTTTTAAAATTTCTTTTACCAAACTTGGATACTATTCAATTTCTTCACTGTATCCGAAGTAATATCATCTCATTTATTTTGTAATATTTCGTCATAAACGTTTTTAATATACTGAACATTTCTTCTGAACTTTTCTATCTAAACGATCCCCATAGTTCCACTATAAAATTGAATATGGTACTCGGAGCAGAACATTATTAAATGTTGTTGAATCTAATACTGAATTTAGCAACGAAAGTGTCCACGTATTTATGAACGAGGGTCTCTTGCAAAACTCCTATAAAAAGTTCAAAGCTCGCTTAGATATCCCGCGCACGATGACCGAACAATGCGATCCCGTGGAGCTACGTCTTCCTCGTGTATCAGAAGACCAATCAACCCCCCACGGTACGACAAAACCGTTTCAATTCTCCACGAGGAGCGAGTCCTACGGATCGTCGTTCCGGGTTCCTCGGAGGCGACCGTTCCCGATCACGCGTTCTTCGTAGAATCCCCTAATTACAAAATCAACGATCCCGATCGTCGCTCGAATTCATCGATCCCGGCCTCTCTTCCCCCGTTCGCGCACGTGACCCCCGTTGTTCGTGACTATCCGCTCGGACCAAAATCGGAGAACAATGCTGTCCCCCTCCGTGAAGCGTTTTTCTTCCACTAATACACCATAACGCGACGAGGGTGGAACGCGGGGGAGTTCTTGTTCCATACGGAGCCTCATATCGGCCGTCGACGATCGGGACAACGTTACAGTTTCCGAAGCGCGAAAACCAAATAGAGACAAAGGGCTCGGATATGGATCGTTGCATATTGCATGGGAGCTTGTACTCTTCTCTAACGAACCACCAGCCGTTCCAGCCTCGAGGAATACCGGTTCACCGTGGGTTCCACCCTCGCCTGGAATCCTCCGTCACCGACGATCAGCGCGAAAGATGGGGGTTAACTTGGAGGGCTTCTTAAGGGGTTACACCACTTTGGTCCTTCCGGAAATTCGAATTTTTTCCCCTTTTGCTTAAAGTATAATCGATACAAGTACACACGGTATATGACTAAACTATGTTGCATAACATAAACAGTATTTTATTTCTTAGATATACAGGTTGTTCGATAACTTGTGGTACAAGCGAAAAGAAGGTGATTCTACGTGAGAAAATAAATCGAAAATATAGAATAATAATTTTTCATGCAAGGCTTTGATTTCAAGAAAATCGACCCGTGAAAGTGTAAAGTTGACGAATATTCTCGCGGTGAAAGGTATGTTTGAAGTATCAGCAAACAAAATTTTAATATTATTCCAATTGTCCGCGGGAGCAGTTTTTCAATCCGACGATTAATTCACGCGCACGTCGGCGTCGGTGCTTTCGAAAAGCTCCGCTGGCATTATCCACCGACTACCAGGGAGATACTTCCGGATTGAATAATTCATACGGAATTGAATATTTAACGTTTCCCTACCCGTCGGAGCTCGTCAATTTAACAATTTCGATCCGCTTAACGCGAGCAATGGAGAGAGAGCAAAAAAAAAAGAAGCGAAGAAACCGATCTCGCGCTCTCGAGGACTCGTGGAATTATGCAACGCGTGCTTCCCGCCTGGTCTCGCCGAGAAACGCTCTGAAATCCAACGGAAACAGAGCTTCATAGGCAAAAAACACAGAAACAGATTTCCCCTCGCATCTAATTACCGTCTCCGCAATGGCCGCGTTTAAAGTTAATTAATTTCATTCATCGAGACTTTGCATTTTAATATCTTAATCTACGACGCTCCGACAGTCCGCTCGACGAGTCCTCCGCCTACGAGCGCGCGATGCGAGGAGATAACGGACAACGCTTCGCATTCGAACGCGATCCATCATCCATCAAGGATGAAGGCTTCGTCTAACGCTCGTACTTCTTTCGATCTCTTTCGTTGCCTCGCTCATTTTATATTTGTTATAATAAACTAGGTACTTCTATTCCGCGCCAGCTGCGGAAATGCGAAACCAAGAGAAGAAATTAATCGTCAGGTTGTTGCAAATGAAATGTCCAATTTGTAGGAGAGATTCAAACATCTGTATCTTTGTTATAAATTAACGCAGGCGTCGGTCGGGACGTTTGGAGCCGTGCTTGTCTTCTCTTTTAATTGCGCTACGTTGGAAAACCTTGCTTTAAGTTTTCAAGTAGAAAATATTGTTCGGTGACAGTTTAAGGGAAGTTGTAAATTACTTCTGTAACTCAACTTTTTTACTACATGTCGAAGCAACTTTGCACTACGCCTTTAAAAATAACTTGTCCTCCACTTTAAGGGTCAGACAGGAGGTTGAATATAATTCGTTAACGTATTTACCTCTCACTTGAGAACTGTTTTTCGGGAAAAAGGACCTTTAGACGACTATGAAATTTTTAGTCTCCCATTGCAAAACTAATTTTATTTTTCTTTAATTTTTGTGTACATCAATAGACTATTTGTTTGACATTTCAAAGTCTCGCATTTCGAAAACTTTCTGATTCATTCTTATGTGAGTCGTTCACAAATCGATTAACTCCACCAGTCACATACAAATTGTGACATTAATGACGTGTATTTTTTTACTATTCGTTCTTATTAATTTTATATACCGTTAGATGAAAGCTACTATAAAGGGAATTTTAGAAAACAATGTACATTATTTCATCGCATTTCTCAACTTTTTGTTTTATGGAGTTAATCGATTTGTGCAATGAATGACTCGTATGTATGTCTATTGTAAAGAGAAAATTAATTACACCCCATAAAATTTCTTTTACCAAACTTGAATATTATAATTTCTTCATTGCATCCGAAGTAATATTATCTCATTTAGTTTGTACAATTTCGCCGTAAATGTGTTTGATATATTGAACATTCTTTCTGAACTTTTCTATCTAAACGATCCCATAGTTCCACTATAAAATTGAATATCGCACTCAAAATATTTAATATTATTAAATGTTGTTAAATACACATCCAATACAGAATTTAGCAACAAAAGTTATATAGTAATACTTTACGGTGTACATTAATTATTCACTGAAAGTAGTAAGTGTCCACATATTTATGAGCGAGAGTGTACATAAATGGGCTCTACTGAACATAACTGTCCATGAATCACAGGGATGACGTCTGTCATCGAGTATCTTCAAGAGGACAATTGATGAATCGAAACGATTGTCGTCTCGTTGTTTCATTTACAACGCAAGTATACAAGATCTAATAAAAGTGTGAAGCGGTTGAATGAATGATCCAACCGCTGGATCGCCACCGAAACAGGGAAAAAGAACACGACGAAAAACGTAGTGCCGTCCGGTGGCGAAAAGGTATTACTGGAAATCGTGACCGCGTCTTTTTATCGGGGCGAGTATATCACCAACGTGGAATTTCAGGTCCCGGTTCGGCTACCTAGGTATCACGGCTCTGAGCTGGCCATTAGTAGACATTTTGTGTGGTCCAGGGGCGAAGTTTTGAGCGGGGCGGATGCTCCTATGCAAATTCACGGATACCCCAATAAATACTGAAACGGGAAGCCGTACGGCGGACCGGCAGAACGGAGACTAGCGGATCTTGCATTAATTCCGGACGTCATTCTTGCAATTCGACGCGTACCGCGATCGAAATCGCTTTGTTTCGCGCCTACCCGCTATACGATACTACTGGAAAAAAATTAGTTCAGTCCGCGGGAAAATGTCAGAAATGCATTAACTCTCCGTAAACGTTTTCCCGGGTAACCGAAACTCTAAAGGGCCATTCATTTCCGACACGTTTCTCATTGTGTAAAAGTCTTTTTAAAAATCTGAAAATAGTCGTGTACACTCTTCAAGCCTTCCGAGTTCAGTTTAGAATGAAACATTGCGAGAATAACATAAAATGCTCGTGGATTTTTACGAATCGGTTTACGAGGTACCACTACTTTTCAAATTCAGACGGAATGTGGGATGATTGTAAATTGACGTTCTATTGCATCGACTGGTGTGTTTAGATATGAATTTAAAGTGTTTCCATTTTGCAGGAATGAATAGGAGGAACATAATAAAAGAAGCTCTAGGGGGTAGATTCTAAGATCAAGCTTGACTTTACTTTCTTATCAGCTAGAATACTATAATAATAAAAATACCACATCCCGCATAGAAGACGCGAATGACCTCGATATCTCGGAAACTATGACCACGAAACAATTCTCTTCTTTACCATAGTATATTCTCCTCTAAACAAACCATTTCTGTACTGACACTTCTACCTATCGTCAAAAGCATCGGAGATATTGTAACTACAAAGCTTGGGTGACTCATCCTCCATACTAACCCTTTGCACTCGAGAGGTGACTCTCACTCAGATTACTCAGTCAGGTTTCCTTTAGGTTTAATTTCTTTGTAACTCTAAGTATCAATAAAATGATTGTCGTTGAGGCAAAGGTAACCTGATTTTCAAATCTCAAATTAGAGATCTCATTTTCGAAGTCAATCTAAGCTTAGCATTCGTGACAATAGAATGCTAAGAAAGCATCTCGAGTTGCTGATAGATACCAGAAAAAAAGGCCTCGAGTGCAAAGGGCTGATATTAGAATAATCATCTTCTAAGTTGAAGACTCCTTCTAAGCGATCCTTTAGTTGAAATGTTAGTATCACGCGACTCCTTTCCGCACATTTCGCAACGAAATGGTCCCAAAAAATTCCCTATGACGATTGTGACTCACTAGACCTCGTACCGAGTAACCCCTCGGCCCGGGCCATGTAATCCTCTTACGACTACTCGCACTAACCTATAATAATCCTCTTTGCAGTAGATGTTGCCGTCCCTGGCGAAGCAAGTCAGCTCGGCCGCCAATGGTACCCGACAATGGCAGCAACGCAAACAGCCGCAGTGCCACGCACGATCGGCGGCCCTCAGGTACCATCGCTCGGCTATCTCTCTGCCGCATCCCCCGCAACCGAGGCTTCCGTCGGCGTTGTTCTCGCTGGTCCCAATCTGCCGGTTGCTGACAGCGCCATTCCCTGGCGGGGGTGTGCTGCTCCCGCAGCCGACTTCCTTCAGCATCTCGAGGAGGACGGCCGCAACCACCGGCGCATTCTGCGGACAAACGGATCGGTGACATTTAGCGAGATTTACAGCTCGATTCGCGACGATCTTTCCGAGTTCTGTCGACGATTTCGAGTAGTCTCGATCGTGCCCGCTCGGGAATTTATTGGGCTGTTACGTATGGAATAGCTGACTCTTAATAGAACATTTTTAACGGGCTCTTTTAACGATAGACTTTATCAGTACTAAACCTACCGACCATTCGTATTCTTTTATTGTAATTTTATACGACGTTAAGGGGTTGAAGTACTTTAGAAGACGTACAAAAAATTAGGATACTCTAGAAGGCTTTGTGATAGCCAGTAGGATGTTTTAATTAAGTACAACATCGTAATACTAATTACTGTTCAATTAACAGTAAAATCACGGAGATCAACGTATACCTACAATACAAACATACTTACAATTGTATATTTGTAATTAAAGAGAGGAGGAACGAACAAATTTCTCAATCTAATTAATTCTCTATTAAAATAACTGTTCTATCGCGGTAGATTCATTGTTAATAACCGTATTTAAAAAGATGCTTGAAGTACACGGCTTGGTAGTTTTAGGGTTAAAATATTCATTCAAGATTAAATAAAATCCTATAATTTTAATTACGTATGTACGAAGATTTTCATGAAAGATGAAAAATTGATATCCCAAACATTGCTTCAAACCCGGTTCCCCAAAATTTCCCATAAAATCGACAAACTCTCAAAACATATTTTCGACGACTTTCGCTTTCGATAGGCTCATTAATTTCCTTCAGGCTCGACACGTCCCCAAAACTGTCGACCGATTCCGATTCCATCTCGTCAGCCTTCCTCGAGGAATCCACCTGTTTCGTGGACACCCTGTATTCAACCGACGACCACTCCAGCTCGTGGATCACTCGTCCCTCGTGTTTGGCCACGAAAATCCTCCTCTCTAACCCATCCTCCATCCGGCCTGTTCGTCGCAGGACTTTTTCTCGTCGTCATCGCGATGACGAGGTTCCGTTTGTCGAAGGACTCCGATCCTTCAGGAGTGACGACGTCGCAGACCGGCCGCATTCATTCAGGACACTTCTCGGCAGCGGGGCACGCAAGAACCGATGAATGAAAACAATTCGTGACTGCTGTCCCGTTAATGAATGACTCCCGGGGTAGTGGCTCTCGGTTTCGAATCGGCCGCGAGCTAATTAGTAGAACCTTGCGGATCGCCACAATAACTCAACGTCCTTTACGAGCGCGGTCCGCACGTGATTTCCGTAAGTTAAATGGAAGGTGACGTCGCCTGGAATCACCGTACACCTCGTTTTACCAAGGTGACGCCGTTTTGCTGCCGCTTGTCACCGACGTATTAGGCCGTACGTGTGCACGCTGATTTACAACTATTCTCCCCATGTTTATCCCCTCTCCTTTCTCTTATCTGTCCATTTTTTGTTATTTTTTTTATTTGGTTCCGTTTCGAGGATGATTTCGTTTCGTCGAATCTATTGGCTAGATATTTGCTCGAGTAATTGGTGGTAATTAAATCGCGGATGTTTGTGCATGTATAACGTGAGAAATTGTGCGAAGATATGTACAAATGGGAAAGTACATAATATCGATAATAAAATACATGTCACGCTGTTTGTAAGATGAGACGTACTCTCATTCAACACGTTAACAGTGTGTTAAATCTCAGTTGTTTGTATGACACTGTAAATCTATGAATTTGCATAAACAGCCACAGTTTTGTAATAATTGATCAGAAGTAATCGTTCCTTGACTTTTCAGAGCAAGAATATTTTTATTTATTAATTAAATTATTAATTGCGATACTCGTATGTAATGTAAATGTACAATTAATCTGTCATCAGGGAAGTTAATGTAAAATTATTCGTACACATTGCATAACGTTGATATTATACACGCGATCGTATTATTATTTTACAACACAAAATTATATAAATGATTACAGAATAAATTACACGAATACGTAAAATGGATAAGTAGTGACTACAGTATATTCATGTCCTCTGTTTAATAATATAAAGTCGTTCACTAAGACCTGATATTCGATGATTCGTACGAAACCGTTTTGGAAAACGGATTTTCCTCGTGTACAGTTGAAATGTTCTAAAATTGTCCAAAATAGACATTTCTACTTAATAAAGATGACGTTTAGACGACGCCCCGCTGTGCTCTTTTGTGGAACAAGCGAGAGGCCATGTGATTGATTTATTCGATCGAAGAGAAATTATGCAGAGTAAACGGTAACTTTGTGCAATGACAAATGAGGATAGCAGAGTATTCTTCGTAAACAGTGAGAAACGTAGTCTTTGATTTCCGATAAACTTCTGTCTGCCACTTGAGTAATGTTCGTTGGTGTTTCTACTCCGAGTTTCTATTTTCCCGTCAGCGAATGACAAACACTTTCCTCTCATTCCTATTCTGTCTTTTCGAGGCTTCTATTTTATCTTCCAACACCGACCGTTCTAACGATACAGTTTCCTTCTTTCCAATGACACGTTGCTTCTTTCGTAAACGTTGATTTCTTTTAACATTCTCGATGGAATCTATTCCTGCCATCCAGGAATCATACTGAGTGAAAATGCAGTTTTTATAATTGTCAATGGAACAATAGATCGCACATCATCATCGCAATGCAAGTATCAACTTTCACTTTCGCGAAGAAGGAGCATACCACAACAATATACGATACTTTCTATAATAGATTTAGAGGTCAATGTAATCAAAAGCATTCGACTATGTAGAAGTCCTCGATGCTATAACACATTTGGTAAAAATAATTCTATTCGTTTTAACTGATCAATTATGCATAAAATCTTGTTTCATCGGGGAAAATCGGATGGAATATTAGGCTCTTCCATAAATTCATTTCGTTTTATAAGTAAATAATAAATATGCAATATTTTACGTTATATGATATTCAACTGAGTTATATACGAGGTGTTCCAAGAAACTTTATACTCTGTTTTTTTTTTTTTGTATTTTAAACAAGAATTACAAGTGAATAAAAAGTAAAGTTAAAATTACTCACATTGTGTATACATCTTTGGGGTACACCTTGTACGGTCCATTTGTAGGTTTTAACAAATATTAATCAAATGGGACAATATCTGTAACGTACTAAACCAAACACGAGCTAGATTTTGTTAAAATTCGTTAGCTACTGAACTTCATATAGCTAAATTGCAACGATTATCAAATTTCTAAGACTCAGACTATGTACATAGATTCATTATAATGGAGATCGAGATCTGGGTTCAAAATGTTGGTAATGTAAATTACCAATATAAATTATTGAATGTAAAGGCACAGAATTAATTTCTACACGGTTTCTTACAAATAAAATAATCGAATCTAACGCTTGATGAATCTCCAACTAAAATATAAACACATATCCATCGTACTTGTTTCTCAACGATAACACTCTTTCTTCCCCCCGATAAAATCCCGAAAAGATCGTAGATATAATTCACCGTGGTAACACGAATCAAACAATTTGCCCTTGGTCCCACGGGGAGGCGTGTCAGGTAGACAGACTAGATGCTAAAAACCATCGGAAATCATTCTCTAGCCTATTCGGATGTTCCTCTTGCTAGACCCTTTCGTCAACTCGTAACGTCAGCCCTTGTCCCGCGAAATTTTAACGATCGGCCAGCCTCTGTTCTTACCTACCTGGTCGTTCGGTTAACCAGCTGAAAACGCAGCGTCGAATTCCACCCGGCGCTTCCGACGTTGTCGACGTCCCTCGTCTCGGTCGGCCGTCGGCTCGCCTATTCCTGGTCCTCGCGAACGATCCTCTCGGTTTACTCTTCGAACCTGGCTATTTCCATCGGAACAGTCGGACCTTGAACCAGGAGCACCGAGTTTTCCAAAGCTGGACGACCGAACGATCAATGAAACTCGTGCTCTCGAGCCCGTCGGAAGCTGTCGCGACGGCGATCGCGTTGGAAAATCGAAGCGAGGAAGTTGAATGCTCGCGTCGGACAGTCTGTTCGATTGAACAGCTCGATTTTTTAGATTTCTGGAGTTCAACCCTTTGATTGCGAAGTTGTGCAGATCGAAACTTAGGTTGGCACGGCGTAGACTGCGTTACACTTCCGATAACGATAATTTTTTGATTTTATTTCGCGCTGAATCTATCAAGACTTGGTCGAGTGATAGAATGGTATCATGCTAGGTACAAGTTCGAAGATATTAAAGCAACGATAATCCATCCCAAATGCAATAAATATTCTAATGAAGAATGTGTCTAAGAATGTAATAATTTGCAATAAACTTGCGACAATTGTGATTAAGATATGAGTATTATTTTGTTTTAAATTCAAAAACTATGAAACCATCTGAAATTATTTTCTTGACTCGTTTGTAGGAACGTGAAATAGTAAATCATCGGTGTATCTCGTTAAAGGCAATGGCGCGGTCTAACCCTTAGACTTCGTCAGTTACGAAGAGTGTATATACAGAAAATGAACAAACTAATATAAACACCTATAGTGCGGGTGATTCCGTGATTGGTATTCACTCTGAATGGGGTATCTCACACTACTGTTAGCAAGTATTTGGACTACTTATTGCTTGATAAGAACGACTCCATTTTTGAAGATGGAACCACATCCATGCGCAAAGCCAAAAATATTTAAACGTGGCTTGAGCAGCGCCAAGATAAACTCGATCGTCTTTCCTGACTGACACAGTCACTTGATTTAAGTACCATCGAACCACTAAGGGAATCAGGAAAAATAGGATGGCTTTCCAATGGGAAGTATTCATGACTAACTATTTTAACCCATTTGCATCGCAGGAAAAAGTGGAAAATTCGTTCTTACCACCAATATTTTATTCGAATTCAATGTCCAAGTAAATTGCGCGGATATATGCGCCAATGATGCAAATGGATTAAGAATCCCATCTCAATTACACTTTCACAATTGCCACTAAAAATTTCGGCAAATGCATAGTTACTAACTGTATAATTTTAAAAAGAATTTCAACATACACCAGTGAAATTGGTCAGCGTGGTGTTAAAACTGAGAAACCGAAATTCCCCCTAAAACATACGAACACCACAAAACAATTCCCTAACATAAACTACTCTCTCGTTCTGCACACCGTGGATGATCCAGGGTCCAACCTCGTCGCAGTCAAAGGATTAAACGCACCCAAATGATATTCAACGACGCGATTGACAGCTCCGTAAACTCGAAAGACAGCGTTTACGCTCAGGCCCCGACACCTGACCGAAAAATCATCCCCGAGCGCGGTTAACCGAACCGTCAATCCCGTAATTCATTCGTAATCACAAAATGAACTCGCGACCGCAACAACTTCATGCAATCTGCGGTTCGAGCACGATTCATCCGTCCGACAGCTCGTCATCGTTCCCGTCGATCGTCCAAAATTCCCCCGTTCGATCTCCGTCTTCGTTCAACACGCAGCTGTCTACCTGTCGTCTTCCACGGTTCCCCGGGTAGTCGGCCAGCGATGCCAGCCTCTATCACCTGGTCTGCGTCCTGATCATCCTCGTTTTCCTCCGCGTACACCGGCGTCGCAACCACGTTTCTCGGCGTCGCCGCGCGCCGCCGGATCGCGTCGGTTCACCGAATCCTAGACTGTTCGCACAACCAGCGCAGCGACGGTAACGCGAGACCGGAAGACGCCACTTTCTCGCGGGCGAGGCGCTTCTCTTTCTTGTCCGAACGGAGTCGAAAATTTCTGCGTGACACGGGGGTAGACGCGGAAAGACGCAAGCGAGCGGCGAGTGCCAGGCGAGAAGCTGCTCCCCGTCGGCGTGATAGCACGATCCTGGGCTGGCCAGACCAGGGCCAGGGGCGGACGTCGGCATGGCAGGATAGAGGGGTTGGCCCCCGTGTGCACCGTCGACGACGCACGGGGTGGGGTTTTCGACGGCTGGCTCGAGGGGTAGAGACGTCGGGACGTCAGGCGTCTGCGCGTCGACGCGGCGCGCGTCTGTCCTGGTCCCTCGCGAGCCTCCAAGGTTCCGTCGTCCTCGTCGACGCAGCGTCGGGACGCGACGAGTTTCTACGCTTGTTTCTTGGCGACTTCGAGGGTTTTGGTTGGTTGGTTGTCTTGGACTGGGCGAGTTTGAAACGAGCTTTGATATGGGGATTTTAGTTTATTCGGAGCAGTGGAGGCAAATGGGAGCACGCGTTTATCAGGCAGATTTTTAGTCCTTTTGTATCATAAGATTGAGATAGTATCGGTCGTTTCGTGGGACTTGAAAGGTTTTGATTCTCTGGGTTTGAGTAGATATTTGTAAAGTAAGTCTTGACCTACTCAAGTTTAACATTAAACCTACAACGACTGATCGAATGATTGTTTTCGAACTTCTGTGCACAGTTCTTATATACGATACATAAATTACGTACAATTGTTTCACGTATTATTCAATTTAGTACCACGTGTGTCTCAAAGTGTCCTCAAGACCAGACATGTGATCGATAGATGTAGAAGCAGATATAAACGAAATGTCGGTAGGTTTAGCGTTAAAACGAGTGGCAATACGAGGACTTTGGTTCATTCAGAATCGTGGAAACAAATGGAAAACTCGCGGCTCTAATTTTTCAACGCGAGCCAAGTCTTCCTCGGTACGATTCATTTTACATTCGGTTTTCCGTGGATGGTACTTATCTACCGCGCAAAAAGAGACTCTACGGTATCTCGAAACGGCCGCTTGACAAACGGTCAGCGATATTAAAATCGTCGCGGGAACACGTTTTTCGCCTGGGCGCCGGACCGGAACACACGGCAGGCCCGTTCGAGCAACGATTTGTACCTGTATGCGTGACTGACGCGTGACTAACCATTCGCATGTCGCGTCATTTCTCTTCGCGAGAGCGTGCTCTTCCCATTGAGAGGCCCCCACCGATTACAAATTAATTGAGAGTGAAACGCGAACGCACGGCGAACGCTTTGAGAACGACGTCGAGAGGGGGCTGGAGGCGCTAATCATGAATAATGAATGCCGGCCCGCCGCGGAACGCTTAGAAATGTTTCGACCCACAGATTTCGAGCAATAATTCCCCTACCCGTCCCCACCAGCCGTTTGGCGAACCGGCTTCCCGAATCTTACAAAGGGGAATCTGCGAACTGTGGTCTGGACTTTTTACTCATTTTTTATTTTATGCGCCGGGGAGGACATACAGGACAACCGCGGAAAGCATTCTTCCGTTTTCGGGGAGTAAAGTATGGAATTGTTATCCTTAACGTTTTCTATGGTGATTGTTCTAACCAGGACAAAGAATTGAGTATTTAACGATAACGAGAAATCGAGGATTCTACTGCCCGCTATCGAATGCAAACCCCTCCCCTATTCTATCAATGCCCCTCTGAACACTTTTCTTCGTGTTTTTTTTTTTTTGTGAAATAAATGAAACCAATGAATTGAGAATAAAATTTATTCACCTACGTCCTCAGCAATACGTGGTACCACCTTTGGTAATGATTTATATACATCCTCGTTTATAAATATGTGGACAGGTACTACTTTCAATGAATAATTAATATACATCGTGAATTATTCCTGTACAACTTTTATTGCTAAATTCTATATTGGATGTGTATTTAGCAACATTTAATTATATTAGATATGACTGTCATATTTAATTTTATAGTAGAGCTATGGGATCGTTTAGATAGAAAAGTTCAAAAAAAATGTTCGATATATCAAACAGATTTACGGCGAAATATTACAAAATAAATGAGATAATATTACTTCAGATGCAATGAAGAAATTAATAGCATCCAAGTTTGGTAAACAAAAATGTTAACATTATCTAGTTATCTCTATAGTTTGTATCATTACTAATGTGATATTTAAAAATACTATTAATAAAATATATTCGCTAATACAACATAAACATATGCAAAGATAAATGATGTAATTCATATTAATGGATTCGCCACTGTTATTAGATATTTAGTGTCCACATACTTCTGATCGGGGGTGTAAGTATTATAACTTTTTTATCTGTAACCGTTTGGATTTATCTGAAATACAGTGTGTTAAGTGTTATTAGTATTTAATAATTAATACGAAGTAAACAATAACATTCAACAGAAAGAATTCTTGCGTATTCTTGCATGTCTCGTAATTTTAGACTTACAGATCATACTGTTATCCCTTGGAAAGATGTAGCTAGAATCAAGTGAAAGCGCGCTTCTTTGACACTGCCAGATTTATTTTGAAAGTTCTAAGACCGCTCTAAGCAATAATTATAATAAAAAATAGCACGGAGGACCCGTGTTGTAGGTTCATACTCGTAAGTACTAGCATATTCGTAGAATGCATCCCTAGGAGAAATTCCAAAGAATGCATCCATATATTCATATGGCCGGCTCTGCACTCTGTGAATTGTGAAAATTTGGTATACACAATAATGCCAGGTATGTTTGACGAATACGAGTCCAATTTCAGGAATATAATTTCGCTTCGAAAGAGAAAATACAAAAATATTTCCCGTTGCATTGCAGTACGTTAAACCCTGATGGCCGAAATACAACCGTCCATGTTGAACGGTTAAGAAACCACGGAAGGGAACGAAGCGGCCGCCGATTTCGAAAGGAAACGGTTGAGCAACGAGAACGTCGTTTCTTATGCCGAAGGTGTGCACCTGTTTTTGTCGGAGCACGCAGAATTCAGGAACAGATTTTCTCTTCCGCGGCGAGCGCCCTTTAATTGTAATCGAACCGGCGGAGTGACAGTTAGATGCATTGTCCCTCGCGACCAGTTCTGGACTCGCCTTCTTGCAAACGGCCGACTATATTTGGACGGGCGTCGCGAACCAGTAACCGTAGCGTGTATTCGGCGCACCACGACGGAAATTCATCGTCCTCGGCGACAGAATCGTGTCTCTGGAGTGGCTCTCTCGATATATCCCATTAGGTTCATTAACCGCGGGTGGCACAATCGCACGAGCCTCTACAAATCGGGCCTCGCCTTTTATAAGCTGCTACCACTGGTCAACAGCTTCTTGCGACGTTTTCGAGCTTTCGAGTCACCGGGATTTCACGGCAATTACGTTCGATGACTTTCTTCGAATTAATAGCGCAGCACCGTTTACGGTAAGTGGAACAATAGGGAAGCAGCGATGTTCAGGTATCTCGGATCCTCGCGGGACGATCGATGACTTCTTGCAGAGCTACTTTCGGTTCTCTAGAGGAGGAACTGGAAGCGATCCTTCCCGACGAGGAATGTGACAACTAGAAGCTTCCCTCCGATGGGGAATCATCGAGAATCCCAACGGATCTTGTAGACGTGCGGTCGAATTGGTCTTGTCCGAGTTGGTGATCGTTTCTGAAGAATTAATTCTGTGCTGCAGTTATGAGACTCGAAGAGACAGGAAGGGACGCGAACACCAAGTGTCTATAACTTGGAATGAAACCTGCTTCAAGATACACGTGTTCCAAGTCGCGAAAATCAATTTCTTCTTAACTTGAACATGAAAGAGTATATTATTCTATTACGCGGTAGGCAAGTTCCAAATTGGAAGAATCCATACCTTTACGATTATGAAGTTAAAACAAGCATCAAAGAATACATATGCATTCCAAGAATTATTGTACAGATCTGCTATTAAGGGACTCGATCGAACATGTAAAAGTGTTCATAACAAAAAATGGAGTAGCTGTTTATGACAAAAAAATAGTGTAGGTATCATCTTGCTGTAAAAAATACACCTGTAAAGTGAGAAGCTAATTCATTTACCCAGAGTTGTAATTAAAAGACTCGATCGTGCGGGAGAAGGGCGCAGAGTCCCTAACCCCGTTTCTCTCGAGCGAGGACCAAAAAATCCACCAGAGACCTCTCAATCAACGGATCCTCGGTCTCCTGACTCGCAATCTTCGAGATTACGGCCGAGAGGGTCGTAAGACGTCGAGGGCAACCAAGTCGCAAGGGTGTAGGGGAGGAAGAGTCCTCGCTCCAAGACTTCGGGGATGCGGCGTCATATCGATCAGGAACTTTCGAAACGGCCTAGCGGAGGGACGGCTGGAAGCAATAATAACGAAGAAGAAGACGAGTACTAGATCTATCTTCTCTCCTTCGCCCTCGTGTCCTCCTCTCTCTGTCTCCCCCCCTCTCTCTCGCTCTTTCTCTCTCTCTCGCCCTCGCTATTTTTCACCGTCTCTCTCGCGCGACGCGCGTCCCTCGAGCGTCCTTCTCCGGCCAGCTGGAGGGGAAAACGAAGGTACACTAACCCCAGATCCGAAGCGGCAACCTCTCCGCTAGGCGCGGCCTTCTGATGCCCGCTCGATAGAAGCCCAACCGGTTCCAGCCAATGGGAGGACCGGACGAAGATAAAGCCGTCGTACGATTGGTCGACGTGCTATTCATACTGACACCGTGCTGATGGGAAACGACGAAGGAGAGGAGCTGGAGATGGAACTGGTCCCACCAGCATCCCCGGACCTGGGATCCGTGCCGAGAATTGGAGTCATCTGGTGGACGCCGCTGGAGACTGTTTTCGACGATGCTCCGTCAAGAGATGGATCCTCGGGAAATCGCTCAAGAAATTTACGACGCGAACTTTGTGTTAAATTTAGTCGAAGGGTAACCTTAAGACGCGGGATCCTTAGTTCGCGGTTTAGTGTCCGGGCGATGCCTTGGAGAACGTTAGAAAATCGACGACACATGGATTTGGAGTAGATTTCCTTGAATTCGATTCGCGATGCTTATTAGTGTCTTTCGAAAAGGTTACGTAACGTGGGATTGTGTAGGTTCGAGAAGGAACTCGTGATCTCGATCCGAGAACCATGCTGGGGGGTACGTGTATTTCTGTAGGTATTGATT